CAGCATAGCAGCAGATGTATAAACACATTGTGTATTGCATGCAACCCAAAATTCAAGCTTTAAAATAAAACTAATAATTTTAAAAAATTAAGAATTATGAAGCACAGCAACAAAACAATGAAACATAGTCCATATTGTTCATGTGGTATCTGTAACTCAGCTGTGAACTATGACTTTCAGAAATGTATTATATGCTATTTCTGATGTTTTATAGCTGTCCTACCTGTAATAGCAAAGAGTGAAGATGTACTTTCCATGGGACTCTTCTTTCCTAATGACCTTTTTTCAGTTTGGTGGCGACTGTGCACAGACAGGGTCTGTCTCCCTTCATTGATAGGAGGGGTTTTTTTCCTCCCTTTTAAGCTCTTACCATAGACTGCCACAATGAGGTTTTACAACACTAGTCTGAGTCCTACCCTGTTATTTTCCTGTCCCAGCCTGAATCTCTCCATTCGTCTTGTCACAGTTTCTTTGTTTTCTCATGTCTGTCTTTTGCCACTTAGTTGTACAGTCTTGTATAGAGAAAGCAATTCCTTTCCTCTTCCTACCATTATCCTACAGCATGTGTGTGTATTTCTGCTCATGGGTACTAAAGTGAATCAAATAAGAAATAAATAATTCAAAACCAGATCAAAATCCTCCATTCAAATTATATTTGGACAATACAGAATTACAAAATAATGAATTTAGCATTAGCAGAATATTGCTGTCTGCTTTTTGTAGACAATTTTCAAAATGCTTCTAGGCAAGTCAAGCATTCTTCCCCATCTTCCAGTTATTCAATTCTCTGTATAGTTTCAGAAATGCCACTTCCCAAAGTATAATATGAACCACTCAAATAGTAAAAGCCATGAGTCTAAAAACTTACATTCTAAAAAGTACTGAAATACACTTCAGGAGAGGTGGGACTGCAGTGATTTCTACATGGAGTCAGAGCACAATTTTTCAGATTCCCTCCTCCCTTTCTACAGAAGGAGGGCTGGGGATAGGATGAAAAGAGAAGGTGAAAGAGCTGGACACTATCAGAGCTTAAGGAACTTAAAACTGATGAACTGCAATTGCGTTCTAGAGAAATCAATTACATAGCTTAATCAGTTATTCTTGCTCTTGCACCTTATGAGGTGCACCTTATGAGATCTTACAAGGCTCTGAGAAGTGTCAACTACTTTTTTTTTCTTCAGAAATATATGCCTGGGAAGGATTACCTGGACACTGAACTGATCCTCCACCATCTCAGGCAATTAAGATATGCTTATTAAGTCCAGAATTTTCTGCCAGAACACTAACTCTGAGTCCACCAGAGTTCCACACATTTACAAGTCACATAAAATATTCCAGCACCATTTAAAAATATATAAAGTGTATAGTAAAAAAATCAACCCCCACATAAATATGCTCCTGGCACAAGTATCTTAGCAATATCAAGTGTATTGCCAATGTCCTTGTTCCCCACAATAGCAGGGAATTTGTTAATAAAAGTGTCCTGATGTGTGTAGAAATCAGAAACAGATGGGCTGACCACCTCACCTCAAACTGCCAACTGTTTTTCCTCTGTATTTGCCAATTTTCTTTAAACATACTCTACCAATCTTCCACACCACTGTGAAATTAAACCAATTGAGGATACAAGATAGCATCAGTAAAGGGAGTATGCTCTCCCTGGAAGTCTAAGCATTTCTGTTTTGCTAAGTCCCTTCCCTGCACTTCTTGAAGAGAAGGCTTATTTTCTGTCCTGCTAAACATTGCACTCATAGGGCCTGAATTCTTTTGTTGCATTTGAACTTGCCCACCACAGGCAAAACCCATAAACTCTACACAACCAGCAGGA